TAACCTAGACGTTTGACAAGCAATCTACAATATTTGTGTCTGCGTTGTATCYGATATACGAACTCATGGCTACGCCTTGAGTTGGTATATCTGATACAGCATGGCCATTCATACTGTATATATTACAAAACTTACATGTTGCATCAGTTTTACTGGTGAGACAGTCCTCCCACACACCTGTGAAGTTAAAGTAAAGAAAGCTCATATTAAAACATCATACTGGCATTGATGATGATGATGACAAATTATGAGGATGATGAGGATGGTAAGAATTGATGGTGGTTGTGGTGATCATGATGATAGTGATGATGATAGTGAAAATGTTGATGATGATGGTGATAAGGATGGTGAATTCAATAATGTTTATGGTGATGATAATGGGATGAGGATGATGATAGTAATGAGGGTCATGATGATTATGATGATAGTAATGGTGATGATGATGTTGTTAGTGATGATGATGATGGTCATGATGATAATGATCATGATGGTGATGATCATGATGTGATTGTATCATACATTATATGGTGATGATAACAATGATGATGTTGATGATAATAATGATGATGATGAGTAGTTCTACACACCCAATATGTTGTCAGTTAGTAGTTTATATATTTTTCATACCTTTAGCGTTCTTAGAAGAACATGTTCGTCTATRACCAAACCCATCATATCCTCATGCTCATATAGCTGAAATGCAACTCTCACTTCACGCAACTCTTGAAAACTGAGATGAAATCATTACTAATTAATAACCAATTGATGATGATAATTAAAAACTCATTAATAATTTATGAAGGAAACACAATAGAAATCATGACCATGAAGGAGGTTTTATATCTGATATAGATTCGTCTACATTTGCAAAAACTTTAACTTGGATTTTCTCTGTCAAACTTGGTTCATTTCGTAAAGAATTCGGTACAGTATGAGAACATACATCAGGAGTTTTTTAAGCCGTTTAATAAACTCGCAGATCGTGTTTTATCGGGTCTAAAACCACTCGGCTACGCCTCGTGTTTTATACCCGATAAAACACTCCTGCTCGTTTATTAAACAGTACCTAATTGATAACTAATTGATGATGATAATATCTGAGATGGGTGGCGTTACTGATGATATTGGTGATGATAATGATGGTGATGATACATGATGATGATGATGATGATAACAATGGTGATGATACATGGTGATGATGATAATGATGGTGATGATACATGATGATAATGATAATGATGGTGATGATACATGATGATGATGATATTG